TGGAAGATGCCCTACTCAGGTTGGAAGGCAAAAATACAACTGGGGAAGAGCTGTCTCCCCAAAGTAGAATCGACCTTAATGACGTGGATGGAGTAAAGCTTTCAGGACCTTCATGTGCTAATGGGGCATGACTCAAAAGGAGAAGAAACCACTGCAAACATTAATAATCAGAACATGGAATGTATGACGTATGAATCTAGGACAATTGGAAGTTGTCAAAAATGAAATGGAATGGATAAAGATTGACATTAATGAGCTGAAACGGACTGGGAAAAGTGCAGCTGGAATGCTCATCGGAAGCAAGAATGGCCAGACTTCTCACCTACTTTGGTTATTGTGATAAAGGTTGTATGTCAACTTGGCTGGGCATGGTTGAGTGGTTGGGCAGCTGGTGGTAGTTACTCCCCATGATGAGACTGGCAATCAACTCCATGGTGGGATCTACCACGAGCAGCTGAGTAGCTGCTTTAGGGATGTGGTCTGCTTCCAGTATATAAGAAGCAGCTTTGGGAATGGTCTCTAGCTTATGGCACGCTTGAACCCTACACATAGCCTGCCATGCCCTGCCAATCTTGGGACTTCTTCTGGACTTGAATTAGTGGCCTTCTGTATTGTTTGGTAACATTGGGACTGTGCTTTTTTACTTGTTGACCTTGGGCTTTTCAGCCTCAGCAGCCAGCAGCTGTCTGAGTGAAGAAAAGCCTCCAGCTTCAGTGGGCTGAGAACAAGAGGCAGAGTTGAAGCCCAAGGTTGAGGGGTTTTCACCCAGCACTTAGAGCTTGGCACTTTGAACTTAGACTTAAAGTCTCAAGAATTGTAAGAGAATAAACTCCTGTTTGTTCAAGCCATCCCATTTGTGGTGTGTTTCTGTTAGAGTGGTACTGGGTAATCAATACAGTCATGTTGTCAGAAGGGACCGGTCCTTGGAGAAGGATCTCATGCTTGGTGAAGTGGAGGGTCGGTGGAAAGGGGGAGACCGTCAGTGAGATGATTGACGCAGTAGCTGCGACACTGGGCTCGAGCATAGCAGGGATCGTGAGGGTGAGGAAGGACTGGGGAGTGACTTGTTCTGTTCCACACGGGGTCGCTGTGGGTCAGAGCCGACTCCATGGCACCTCACAAGAACATCACTTGTGCGTTTTTAACATGGGTAGATATTGCTAGGTTACCCCCAAAAGAGAAGCTCATCCCTGGGCCACGTGTTCACATCTTCATCCACAGGGCAGACTGTCAATCTGTGAACCTGTTGCCCTCCATGCTTAGAACCCAGACCGCCCAGGAAAGTAATGCAGCGATGCCCTGAAACCCCCATTTCTAACAGACTTGGAGATCGGAAGAGGGAGCCCAGTGGGAGGAAAGGCGAGTGAGAAGGAGTGTGCAGCAGGACGGACAGACGACAGGGCCAGGAGGAAGGGACACACACCCAGTGTCACCACCTTGGAGTTCTGCTGGGACCTACACTATTCCTGGGCCATTAGGTGACAATTAGCTCCTCTTGAGCGTGTTTTTAAGTGAAGGGGACAGTAATTAATGTCATTAACCCTCATTAAGGGAGCGTTGGTACAAAATGGAATCCGATTAAGGATGTGTCCCTCTCAGGTGGCTATGTGGTCAGCCTGTCCTCAGGAACAAGCAGACACTAGGTCCAGAACCATCAGTGATGTCACGACCTCCCGTCAAAGACACTCCTGAGATACCCAAGGCCAAAACGCACACCCTGTTCAGAAATGACAGTTCAAAACACCCCAATGCCTTTACATGACGCTGCTGGTGAAGAATATTGACTGTACCGTGGACTGCCAGTGGAACGAACCAGTCTGTTCTGGAAACAGCGCAGTTGGAATGCTCCTTGGAAGCGAAAATGGCTAGACTTTGCCTCTCGTACTTCGGTCATGTTGTCAGAAGGGACCATTCCCTGGAGAAGGACATCATGCGCGGTAAAGCAGAAGATCAGATTAAAAAGAGGAAGACCTTCAACGGGATGGATTAACATGTGGCTGCAGTGATGGGCTCAAACGTGCAACCATTGTGCAGAGGCTGCAGGACCAGGCAGTGCTTCAGGCTGCTGTTTGTGGACTCGTTACTAGTCCAACCTGACTCAGTGGCACCCAGCAACAATAGTGCCCAAGAGTCCGCTTTTGAGCACCTTCCCTAATGTGTCCCCATTCAGTACAGAGGCAGTGACTGTGGGGAGCCACCTAGCATTGCCTCACAACAGTGACACTGTGTTCAGCTCATAATGACATAATGGGACCCCAACCACTGAGGACATAGCTTCTGAAGTTTTTGAAAGCCCCAAGATTGGAGTTTGAGAGGCGGCATGGGCGATACTAACACAACAGAGGAGTGGTGGGCATGAGTACAAGCTGCAGCTGCCTTCCTGGCCCCCTACAAGGGGACCAGGAGCAGGGAGGGCAGCAGGGCCTGAGAGGCCAGAGGCTGATGGCAGGGCCCACACCGTCCAGCTCAAGGACCGTCAGTCTGCTCCGCCAGCTTTGGCTTCTAGTCCCCTCTGTGCACTGCCCTTTGGAAACGCCTGCTCCATCTCAACGCTGGCCTTGTCCCACCTGCATCAGCCTGTGTGGGAAGGAAGAGGTAGCCAGTGCTGTGAGTGAATCACAGCTTCCCAGAGCAGGCGGGCCATGGGCCAGCCCAGCCACACACACGCACACAATCACTCCCATGTGTACACATGCACACATAATGTGTACCATACATACTCACACATGCATAACACGTTGTTGATGTTGTTGTTATGTGCCATCGAGTCGGACCCAACTCATAATGACTCCTCCTTGGGTTTCCAAGGCAGTATCACTACGGCAGTAGATTGCCCAACCTTCCTTCCAATGCATAATACATACACACCCTTATACACACACACCACACACACACACTCTCATACGTAAACACACACACACATACATAACCATGCAGACATACACATACATACACATTACAAACTACGCACACACACTCCCTCCACTGCCTCTGTCCCCTCAGGAGGCTGGTGGCAGTGCTGGAGTGCAACCCAAGCTGCAGGCCTCCCTGGGGCTATGCCAGGACCAGGAGCAGTGAACCAGAAAGGGCCAGGCAGGTGCTCGAGGCTCCAGAGGGGTGTTTGCTGTTTACACCAAGCACCAGGAAAACATCCGCTTCCGGCCCTCCTGGGAGCTCCAGCTGCGGCAGGAAGGGCTGACATGGCCGCCGAGGCCCAGCTGCTGTTGCGCACAGGATGGGGCCTGCTGCAGCCCGGGAGGGCACAACGCGCGCTCCACCCACGTGGAAACCATCGTCTCCCATGAACAAGGACAGTAGGAGAGGTCGACAGGCATGCCAAGGTCACAGAGCAGAGTG